GCCTCCGGCGCCCGCCCGGGCCCGCCGTGTCCCGCCCGGAGCGACTGCGGCCGCCGCGCCGAGCTCACCCCGCCGCGGCCATGGCAGGCGGCGCGCCCAGGCCGCCTTCCCGGGTTATCGGTCGGCTCTGGCGAGCGGTTCCCACTCAGGCCCGCGACGCCCCGGGGAGCAGAGAGGGCGGGCTGGCGCGGCCCTGGGCCTCGACGCGCCAGGCGGGCGGGACGCTCTGCGAAGCCCAGCGGCGAGGAGGATGCGCGCGCCCCCGCGGCCGGCGCCGCCCCGCCCCCGGCCCCGCCTCCAGCCCCAGCCCTGGTCCTTCTGCTCCGGAAGTCCCGCCCCTGCCCTGTGCCCCGGAAGCAGATCCCACTTGCGAGCGTAGCACGTTTTTTCCAACCTTTGGTCCTTCTTCGGGGTGAGACAAGTCGTGGTGCCCCTGAGGCTCCCCTGCCTGGGACCTGGGTCAGAGTGGGGGCATCCGGACTCGAACTGGCGCACTAAGACCGAGTGACCTCGTGTTACCGTCGCTGACACTTGTAGCTGGAGGAGTGGGACCCAGAAGAGTTAAAAGGACTCCAGCGTCCAGGTTTGCTGAGGGCCCGATGGTGACCTCTTCGCTTTTTTTCTTTTTTTTGTACCGGGGATCGAACTCACGACCTTGCACTTGCTTGGCAGGCGGCGAAGCCACTGAGCTAAATCCCCGGCCCTCCTCTTTGCTCTTTGATGTCTTGAGTCTTGGGTCTCCACCGAGGCCGCCCTAGGGCTGGACGACTGTCCTCCCGTCCCTTCCAGCACGCAGCTCTCTGTGCTAGAAGAGTGTAAAGTGACCAGAACAACCTCCTCATCCTTTTTCCAAGTAGCGATGGGATCATGAGAGGAGGCGAGGTGTGTGTGCAAGGTCTAAGTCCTGCCTCAGCCTCCCAGAGTGGTAAGTTGACAGACGTGCATCACTACACCCGCTTTCTTTCTCTCCTCTTAAGGCCTGAAACCATAACGTTAGTATAAGTGTTATAATGTGAGGGTCGTACTGGGGATTGGACCTAGGGGCGCTCTACCGGGGAGCTACATCCCCCAGCCCTTTTGAGGCAAGATCTCACTAAATTGAATTTGTGATCTTCCTGCCCCAGCCTCCTGAGGAGCTGGAATTACGAGTATGTGCCACCGCTCCCACTTGAATTTTGTAAGTTTTAATTATCTAATACGCCTGAGTAGGTATGCCACAAAGGTTAATGATCGGGTGCTACTCTTACACAGTGCCCCACGTTACCGAGTGGAAATTTGAAGAGACGATATGGAAATCTCTCAATTTTCAGCTACTTTACTCACACACTGTAGCCCAGAAAATCTGAACACATTCCCTGACTTGCAAGTATGCCCCCAAATCAAACTTTTTTGGATAGCAAAATGGTTAGTACAGCCTTAATTACTCTCATTTTGCTATCTCACACTCTCCAGGGCTGCAATTCTTCAGAACTTCCCTTTTACGTTTCTTCATCAGGTCAGCAGCATCACACTGCAGCCATGTGTTTCCCAAGCACATCTGCCACATCCAAATGACATCACTTCAACTCAGAACTTTTTAAAATATGGACTAATAAACGTATAAACATTACCCACAAAGGAGGGACAGCACAGGTTAAAAAAAAAAAAGACTTAAAACTGGAGCATTAAATATTTAATATTTATGAAACCTCTGGCAAGATGTCTACACACTGCTAATGCTAGATAAATATCATTTCCCTTCTCTTTTAGTATCTGGCTGTCTCAGAACATAAAAAAGGGGCTGGGAATTGGGCTCAGTACCAAAAAAATAGAGAAAGAACAGAAAGGCTCGTGGAGGACAGCACAGCTGTCTGCATGCATGGGTCAGACAGTCCACTGGCAGGATTACCAAACAGTGGCTGTGGAGGCAGGAAAGGCATGTCTGGGGTCATCCTCGCTAGTGGGTAGCACAGCCACTGGTCTGCAGTGATTATTCTGTCCCCCTCCCTCTACTAATCTCATTTGCTTGTTGATGTTCCAGCCATAATCTTAGGAACACACCTCATTTGACTTGCTCAGAAGTGTGGCTTTGGTTACAGGCCTGAAAGAGGAAAGGTGAGCACTAAGACCCCCTTAGTAATTTACCTAGGAGCCAACCCTCCCACTGGAAACCCGCCCTACAGGTGGCCACACCCATACACACTCATATACTTCAGACTCCAGGCAGAAATGCTCTTGGCCTGACACACTGTCACTTTAAGAAAAATTGCAGAACACCGTAGAGGCAATGTGATCCAAAATGAAAGGTGTTCTTTGTTGAACCACCTGCTAGATGCCATGCACTAGACTGGTTTTTGGCTTGAGGTTTTTGTTATTGTTTGTTTTCACTTTTTTGTACATCTGAGTCTCTTCTGTTGTCCCACAGACATAATGCTGATAAGTAAATTGCGCAAGGTCAAAATACTAATAAATAAGAATTTGAACCTGGTTTTGATTCCAAAGTCCAAGAGGACCCTTCAGCTGCATCCACCCTTCAGTCCACACCGGTAAGCAGACTGGAAATATCTACAACATTCATGAGTCAAAGAGACCAGTGTTACTTTTCTTTTTTCTGTTCTAAAGGAAGCTAGGAGCTCACTGCTTAGGGATAGATCTAGACTGAGTGGAGAGATGAAGGAAGAAGAGAAGCCTGATTTCTGTGAGGTTCAGCCCTGATCAGTGTAGGAAGACAGGCAGTGACATCGCTTCTTGGCCTTTTAGCTAAGATCAAGTGTAGAAGACAGGCAGCAAGGCTGAGGAGCAGCATTAGGTAGAAGTAACAGGCATTTGATCACAGCATCTCCAGCATCGTGTCACTTGGGAATCAGTGTGGGTACAGCCCTCAGTAGGGGATGGGTCTGGTCAGAATAGGGGAGGATCAACCCTGCCCCAAGGCCCTGTCCTCAAGATAGGGGAAAAAAATATCTTGGATCTATTCACATCCACCACCCATCCTGCTTTTTGAGCAGAAAAATCTTTGGATAATTATTTTCCTTCATCTTTCTCCATAATCGCAATTGAAGAATTTGGTCATTGCAAACAAGTAAATATATGGAAGTTGGTGAACTAGCAAGGTCAGGTTTTTTTTGAAGGGGAGTGGTAGTGATTTCTATGCTTAACAAAATTTTCTGTGGAATCATATCTTTAAACCACAGGCAATATTAGTATTAGCTTTCATTATTTATGAGGTCTACTTATAAAAAATCAGGAATAATAGGCTTCCTTAATCGAATCAGGTAGAGCATAGTTGCAGCCTTACATCAGCCACACTCATCAACATTTGCACAGCTCCTGAATCCCCCTCTCCCCTCAGAACACAAACACTGCACCAGCTGAGACCAGGACGGGGGCCTTTGATCAAAGAAGGACCTGCTCAGAGTACAGCTTCCCTTTTCCTATCACCTGCTAGCCAGTTCCCGGAATCAGTTACTCAGATGTTTCTAAAGCAGTTGGGAAATATCAAGAGCTTCCATCTGTTGTACAACTTCTCTCACCCTCTTGCTTTCTAGTGGTCTCTTCACTGTGTCACTGTATAAGGCCTCCTTTTGGTACTTAATGGGAAGCAGGCCAGAATGCAACCAGCTATAGAGGAGGTATTTACTTTGATAGCCACTTCACCTTGACTAATGCAATTCATTTATTGATAAAACATGCCTTGAGTATACTTAGCCAGGTATCATGGGGACATAAGGGTAAGGTGTATTTCTTGTCCTTGAGAAACTCATAGGCCAGTAAGGTAAATAGTCACAAGAACAAGCTAGAACATGTCCAGCAGTGAGGGTGCTTGCAACCAGCTAGTGGTAGAATCTGAAACATCAGCCTACTACCTATGCATAACTGTCCCCTCTATCCCCTAAGGTACAGCTAAGATTCCACTATGAGCAGTTTATTCCTGTGAAGTAAAATGTCCAGAGATCCCCTGTCAGAATAAAAATTCCCGCAAGAAAATACACTAAGGATAGCTAGATTTGAATAATAGCGCCAAATCTTTCAGACCAGGAACATTGTGTTGAAAAGGATTCTGAGGTCATGTTCCGGCTCAAAAGAGAATAATGCCGCCATGAGGAAAGAAGGTGGGGAAGACAGCACTTGTTCTATGTATTTTCTATTCATAAGCAAAACCTTTGCTTAGGGAATGTACAGCGAAGTAGAGGAGAGCCATAGTTTGTGGATAGTCAGGAAAAGGCCCACTTGGAAAGTCGGTTATCTACTTCAACACAGCATTCACCATCTGTCCCCAGACTAAAGTTTCTCTCCTCCCAAACTCTACCTTCTTCACTATTCCATGCTCACCAAAAATGGAAATGGTAAATGCATGTGTGTCCCTGAGATCCACAGTGTACTTTTAATACAGTCTAGCATCTAGCAGGAAGGATCAGGCATAGACCCAAGGGAGAGAGGCTTCTCCGTGCCCATCCACTGTGCCCTCTCCCATCTTCCTTAATTATGAGGCCCACTGTTTGTGAGGAATAGCATTTGGCTCGGCTCAAAGAGGACAGCTGGCCTGCCCAATGAATTGTGAGTGAAAGCCTCCGGGAAAGCCCTTTGAAGAGGTTTCATGTTTTCTACTTCTTGCTATGTGAAGAACAGGATGGCTGGAATTTTATTATCTACTTTTGTATACCAGATGATCTTGAAAATTGAACCCGTAGACGAGATACTACTTGACTGATACACTGTTGTATAAACCATTGTTGCATTGAATTCCCAAGTTATATGTAGCCAAACTTTTATCTTGATCTGGCCAGAATTTCGTATTATTTTTTACTTAACTTCATGTATATATGCATGCTGACAACTTTATGTATATATTCATGCAGACAACTGATTGGCCCCCAGATAATAAGGACACAAACCAAGAGCTGTAGGGTAGTCATAATGGGCTCCCCATAGTAGTAGTATAGGCAGCTAAGTTAGATAGAAATTAACATACAGTCAGAAAGGGACTTAGGTCTCAAGAAAGCAGAAGAAATACAAACATCAGAATTGTGGCTGGAGGCGCATCTGAAGAAGACCAGGCCTCAAGATAGAGATGTAATGACCAGACCTAGATGCTTCCCCTAAGGGATAAGCAGTAACTTGGAATTATAATTGATATCACTTGTCCCAGTAAAGTCCAGATAGACATCAGTCACCTGGGTGCCAGAACGTCTAGACCCATCCTCTTCAAAAATGCTCTTGTTCGTTCTGGGTACCCTCACTATGAGACCTGCTTCTCTGTTGAATTAATATTAACTAAGCGGCTATACTAGTAATCTTACTGGTGGATTAGTTTGACCCACATTGTACTAACCTCATGATTTTCCTCTGTAAGTCTGAGAGAAGTGGCCTTGGTGACAGTCCACTTTCAGATCTCCTTCTGTCTCTCAGGAGCCATCTCTCAATAAATCTTTCCTACTCTTAACCTCTGTTGTTTCTTAGAATTCATTCTTCTATTTCAGGCGACACGAACGTGACATATCTGATACCTAGCAGGTTGAGAGTTACATTTTCCCCTATATCAGTAGAAGCCAGGATTCAGTGGAAGGAGGCAGCTGGCACACGCTCTAGAACTAAGGATTTTGGTGGCAGAAGGAAATTATGTGTCCAAAAGTCATAGTAATTCCCCACAGAAAAAAACTTACTAGATAAACTGTAAGCTTCTAAAACACTTCTCTGATTGCTTTTGATACCCATCACAGTGCCTTGTATCTAGGAGGTACCAAGGAGTTACCTGAGTAAGAGACTGGGAAGCCACCTGAAAGTGCTACTTTTTAAAATTCCTACAGTTTTCTGGTAGTTTTTTGTCTGCATTTTTTTTCTCAGCAAGGGGAGGGGAAGAAATAAATTAGGGGCAGGGGAGTGGGTTCACTAGTGCTGACTGTAGAAAGCTACAGTTTCAATTGTTAATTTCCTTTTACTATAGATTGAAATTTTTAGAAAGTACAGTGGACCCTCAACTTACAAACTCGATTGGCTGCTGAGGGCTGATTGTTGGTTATAATTCAATACAGCTGAGATCTGGATGTTTACCTGGGAACACACTATAGATAACAAGAGGCAGATGAATCTTCCATTAACATAATCAACCCAAGTTGTTTGTATGCCAGGCGGGTCTTAACTTGAGGGTCCACTCTAGTTTCCTCATTATTTGCAATGTTTGCTTTTGAGATTCATAGATACCTGTTAGCAATAAGTAGTATTTATTGCCTTTTATTATGCTTTCTTTAATGAACCAGGAAAATAACCTGGTTGAAATGGAGTTGTATTTATCAGAGCTTAGTCCTGACTTTTATTAGGAAGAAAAACACTAGAAGTATGATTCCTTAAGTCATCTACCTCAAAAGGGGGAAACCTAGGCTATTCTTTTTAACCTGCAAGTGTCCAAATCCTGCAGAAGAAAAATGTGCATGCTGTTTGTGTCTGTGTTTCACTTTTCTAAATCAGTAGCTCTCGATGCAGGATCAGTCTGCCCAGGTCTAGACATTTTTTTTAATATCACCAGCAAGGAGGGAACGTTATTAGCATCTAGGAGTAGAGGCCAGGGATGCTGCTAAACTGCCTGTAATGCACTGGGCACCCTCAAAGGAAGGGACTGTGCAGCCCAGCATGACAATTGTGCCAGAACTGAGACACCCTGTCTAAATTGGCTAGTCACATACCTCAAATACGTCATTTATACTTTGTTTCAGAGCATATCCATCCTAATACTTTGCGCAGCACCTGAAGGGAAATGATAGTAACTACATTCTATAAAGAATTTACCTATGTTAGCTTCTCATTGAAAACTATTTAAAAAGAAAAAATAAAACTTGTTTTCCAAAGAAACAAAGATTGGTAATTTCAAAACACCTCTTTAACTCCGTACAGACAAGCTTTTTAAACGGTTGTTCTGGCTCCAGTTTTTTTCACATCACTAGAAATATATATGTTAGTATGGAAATCTGCCTAGTTTCAGATAGGCAAAACGATAACAGATTTTTTTCTCAAACTAAGAATAAACCCTGTATGAGTTTAGAAGGCAAGGAACCTTTCAGAACACTGTTGAGATGATATGCAAGTGCAGAAAACACTACTGGACTTCTATTTAAAGCCAGAGGCAATGGTATTTTCTTCAAATTAGCTCTCATTCAGTATTTTGTTAATGTTTTCCCCTTTTACTGGTGTAAGAGAGATTTTCTACAATAATGAGATCATAACTGTGTACAAAAATTTAGTAGCCTCCATTTTTTTCTGTAGTATCATAAATTGTTTTCCCATGCCAGTTAGATTTTTAAGAATGATTTATAATGATTGCAAACTATATCATTTAGTCATAATCAATTTAACCATTCTCCACTTAATGGATTTTCATTTGTTTCTTTTTCAGTATAAGAAAAAACATTTCTCTAATAAGCACTTATATATGCTGATCTTTGCATCTGCTTATTTTCATAAAAAGAATTATTAGCAGGGCTGGGGATTTAGCTCAGTGGTTTCGCCACCTGCTGTGCAAGCACAAGGACCGGAGTTCGATCTCTGGTACCAAAAAAAAAAGAATTATTAGAATTGAAATATCTAGGTTATTTTGACCAGAAAAGAATAATTTAAAATCTCTTGATAAACATTTACATATATTTTAAAATGTTTATACCATCTACCACATATAGTTGTTTCTTTACTGGTATTTCAACTTAGAAACTTTCGGCCATACCAGGAGCTGTAACTGGATGAGTTTCCATCATTCCTGACAGCATTCTTTCATCCCTGCTCGCAACACTCAACATGTCTGTCTTCTCACCTCCATTTCTCCAAGTGAGTTCTGAAGGAAAATGACAGAAACCGTTCTAGAGCAGAACTCGTCCGGATACTAAGGTGATAACACCTGCAAGGCAGCGAGGCACCTTCCAGATCAATCTCCAGATGCAGTAATTGTCTCAGTCTCAGTTTCCCAATGTTGGACCGAGTACACTTTTGCATAGGAAAGCAGCATACAAGTGGGGGTCTGTATTAATTTAAACCTAATCTTGATAAATAGTTACTATATTGTCATTGTCTCAAGATCAAAATTGCTGTTAATATTTCTATATTTTGTAGAGGGAAAAGAGAGAGGAAAAAAATAGTTATTTTAATCTAGCATGGCCAGTGTAGCTAAAAGTGTGCCTTGATTTAGTATAATTGTTTTATGTGTTTTATATGTTTTTGGCTAGTTAATCTGGCTGTTAATCTGTGTTTATAGTTAACTTGGTAAAGACATAAAATAAATAAATCTAATGCTGGCCAAAAGAGAGAAAAAATATTTTTTAATTAGGGTGGAAGGGAAGGAGAAAAAAAGAATTGAGATGTATTATATGAATATACTGATACCCCACAACAAGTATAATCATAATATACTGCAAACATGCACTAATAAAAAATTTTTAAAATATACCTGTGTTTTGTTACTGCAACGGGTAAGTTCCGCCACGCCCGGCTTGGACAGCTCTTCTTGCTATGGTACTGAGCAGGAAGAGGCTGGTCAAGGTGGGCACTCACTTACTAGTGGGATTAGAGGATGCACAGCCCTCCTCTGCCTCGTGATCACAACCCTCGGCTTAACAGTGTGCCCAAAATTCCCAGTTGCCCATCT